TCTGATTGTGTATGTGCAGCCATATACTTGCTAAAGGATGTCCAAGTACAAGCTATCTTTGGGCCACAAATGTCTACACAAACTGATTTTGTGATTGACTTAGGGAACAGAGTAAAAGTCCCTATCATTTCTCCAGCAACAAGTCCTTTACTTACAGTCAAGGAAAATCCCTTCTTCATCAGAGCAGCACTTCCTTCTTCCAGTCAGACTAAGGCTATTGCAGCACTTGTTAAAAACTTTGATTGGAGGGAGGTTGTGGTAATCTATGAGGATAGCCCCTATGGGTCAGGGATAGTTCCAAATTTGACTGATGCCTTACTGGAAATCAGCACTTTAGTCTCCTATAGAAGTGTTATTTCTCCGTCAGCAAATGATGACCAAATCCTCAGTGAGCTATACAAGTTGAAAACAATGCAGACCAGGGTCTTCATTGTGCACTTGAGACCATTACTTGCCAAACGCTTTTTCCTCAAGGCAAACAAAGCCGGGATGATGAGCGATGGATATGCATGGATCATCACAGATGTGCTAACGAGTCTTCTTGACTCGGTAGATCCTTCAGTGATTGAGTCATCAATGCAAGGTGTTCTTGGTGTAAAGCCATATGTTCCACGAACAAATGAGCTTATCAATTACACCAAGAGGTGGAGAGGGAGATTTCGTCAAGAGTATCCAGACATGGACATAGTAGAACTCAATGTTTTTGGGCTATGGGCATATGATGGCATCACCTCATTAGCAAAAGCAGTAGAGAAAGTGGGTGGCACTGCCATCCCAAAATTCAAAAAAGCAGATAATAGAGAGTACTTAACGGACTTAGATGCACTTGGAACCTCAGAATTGGGATCTTTGCTCCTCCACTCTATGCAAAACACAGCGCTAAAAACAGGTCTAAGTGGTGATTTCCGCATTGTTGATGGAGAATTGCAGCCTTCCCCATATCAGATTGTAAATATAATTGGGAAAGCAGAGAGAAGCATTGGATTCTGGACAGAAAGGGATGGAATTTCGTGTAAACTGAAAACGAATGGTAAAACAGCAACCAAGTGTAATGATAAGCAACTAGGAGACATTTTTTGGCCAGGTGAATCTACTATTGCTCCAAAAGGCTGGGAAATACCCACAAGTGGAAAGAAGTTAAGGGTCGGAGTTCCAGACAAAGAAGGGCTGGAGCAATTCCTTAAAGTGGAAATAGATTCAAAAACACAAGAAGTAACTGTAACTGGTTTCTGTGCAGATGTCTTCAAACAAGTCATCGAATCCTTGCCCTATGCTCTCCCTTACGAATTTATCCCATTTCAAATACTGGATAGCCCCACTTCTCCAGACTTTGATGATCTTGCTTATAAGCTCTTTTCTGAGGTAATAAAGTATCTAATCCTCATTCGAATTAGCCTCTTTGGCTGAATACCTTACATTACATCCATGCTCCCTTTAGATTTTCTTATTTTGCTTTTATTCTGGCAGAGGAAGACCAACCATAAGTACTGAAATGATCATTGTTTACTTTAACCAGAAATTTGATGCAATGATAGGTGACATAACCATTTCAGCGAACCGATCCAAGTATGTGGATTTCACATTACCTTTTACAGAGTCAGGTTTTTCTGCAGTTGTGCCAGTAAAGGATGATGACAGGAAGAATGCTTGGATTTTCGTGAAACCACTAAAGAGCGAGCTTTGGGTAACAACAGGAGCATTCTTCGTTTTCATTGGTTTTGTGGTTTGGGTGCTCGAACATCGTGTAAACAAAGAGTTTCGAGGACCTAAACGAGAGCAAGTTGGGATGATATTCTGGTTTTCCTTCTCAACTCTCGTTTTTGCTCATAGTAAGCCTCTAACTCAAAGTAAATTATATATGAAAGCTTTATATTTATCCTAGCTAGTTTCTCAACAAATCATATATATGTGGTTGGTTGTTTCAGAAGAGAGAGTAACAAGTAACTTTACAAGATTTGTGCTGATCGTGTGGGTTTTCGTGGTTCTGGTGCTGACATCGAGTTATACTGCCAGCTTAACATCTATGTTGACAGCGCAAAAGATTCAACCTACAATAACAGACCTTAATGATCTCATCAAGCGTGGAGAATATCTTGGGTACCAAAAAGGTTCCTTTGTCAGAGGTGTCTTGAAGAGCATGAAATTTGACAGCACCAAGTTCAGAAGTTATAGCACATTGGAAGAGTACAACGATGCCCTCTCAAGAGGAAGTAAAAATGGAGGTGTAGGTGCAATTGTTGATGAACTACCTTATCTCAGACTCTTCCTCAACAAATACTGCAGAAAGTATATTATGGTTGGTCCGACTTACAAGACTGCTGGCTTTGGATTCGTAAGATTCTCTCTGTATCTGGAAATGTTCCATAATTGAAACTATACTATCCACGGTATTTCACTCAATCTAATCTTTATTTTCCCGCAACTTCTTACAGGCATTTCCAAAAGGGTCACCGTTGGTACCTGATGTATCAAGAGCAGTCTTGAAGGTGATGGAGGGAGAGTTTATGAATAACATAATACAGAAATGGTTTGGGAATGAAACAGATTGTCCACGGATAGATGGAATGTCTATAACATCTGATAGTCTCACGCTGGATAGTTTTAAGGGCCTTTTCGTTATAGCTGGTGTATCAGCAGGTTCCGCTCTTCTCTTATTCTTCCTCAACTTCCTTTATCAGAACAGAGAAATCCTAGCCACTGATGATTCAGTATGGAAAAAGCTTTCTGCAATAGCAAAAGTTTTTGATGAAGAGAAAGACAACTCTAATTCTATGCCGGTAAATCCATCTGAAGGGAATGAAAGCCAAACAACTACACTGTTTGCAGAAAGTGAAGCTTTCCCCGAAGTATTGCCTGACCTACCTTTGCAAAGCCTAGATATCAGAATTTCCGACAGGCTAGGAGCATCCCCTACTGCTGAAGGGTTCTCTATAACAGAACCTGGAACTCCAGTTCATGAAATCGTTACCGCGACAATTGAAGAGAGATTGCATAGGGCCATACAAGAGATGAGCTAATAGGGTTAGTTAGACCAGATGACATTATAACTTTGTCCCTCTTTGCCAGAATTTAGATATGACGGGTTCAAAGTTTAAGTTCTTAAGATTGAATTCATTGCATTTCTGTAATTATGAGTTAAGAATTTAATATTCGTTGAAATTCTTCTAATTTACTACTTGTTCCTTGTGTTGAAATTACTGTATTTGCTTTTCATAATTTCTAATATGTTTTACTTGAGCCAAAGATCTATGAAACAAGGTAGGATTAAGGCTGCTTACACGCCATCCTCCTCTTTTCTGCTGTTGGAAACTCACCGCTTAGTCGTTCCCTTCAAACCAGTTAATGTATATGTTCATTTCAACATTTTATCTAATATCCATGCAGTGTATACATTATTACTTCGTTAAATCACTTAATCAAAGATAACTTGAATTATTTGGTGTATAATCCGATGGAAGTAAGTATTTACCTCTCTGCTTGATGTGCAAACAATATACTGAGAACGTGTAAGATAAAAGCCACGTTATATGTGCTACATAGTCTGAGACGGATATAGCTCTTTTGTATTGAGTTCATCTGAATCCAGTATTTTTTATGCGGTGCACAAATTTATGTGTAAGAAATCTCTAAAATTGAAATAAATAGTAATTATGAACCCATAATTTTAAATACGTAATGGGTTCAATGATATGTCTCAAATATCAAAACCATAGAACTTAAATTCAGGATCGAGGATCGGTCTTTGAACGTAATGGCCTTAAAATCTCAATTAGAAGATAAGCTGAGAGACAATAGCTTGTACTACTTGGTTAATATTTAGCCACAAGTTTTTAATCAATCATGGTTAGTGGTGGCAAATGAACGGGTTGGGTCAAATTTGGGCAGGTTGAAAATGGATAAACCTAAAATGAGTAATAATTCAACCCGTTCATAATTGATATAGGTAAAAATGGATTGGGTAACAAATGAGCTGGGTAAAATACTAGTTTACCCATATTTTCATGAGTAAATAGTACTCTACTTAAGAATTCAACTTGGAGAAAATACTTTAGTCTTTTTTTATATGAAAAATGTTGAAAATACTTCATTTAGTTTTACTGTAACATAAAAGTCAAAAAAAAAAAATCCTATAACTTTTCAATATAAAATAAATTTATGTAATAACAAGGGAAAAATTATTTTTAATTTCAAAGTAAATGAATATTTGTATTTTAGGACTAAAACATGTTTAATGCACTTCAAGCAATGTGAACACCAATACATGATTTGCTTATTTTACACTATTATTTATTATCCAATATAAAATTAAACAAATAAAAAAATATAATTATAATTAACAAAAGAAATGTACATTTAAAATATATATTTTTGGAGGGCCAAAGACTTTACCTTTTCAATTACAAGAAAAATAATTAGTTCTATAGAACATAAAAAGGAAGAGAAGTTACAATATTTTTAGTGATATCATGAATTTTGAGTGAATAAAAATTAGAAGCTTAACTCATTTGGCTAATCCATATTTTACCCATATTGTTATGGGTTGAATATGGGTATCAACCCATATTTTACCCATGTAAAAAGTCACTCACCCAATCCATTAAAATATAGGCGGATTGGGTGAATTACCAAAATATGGGCTCATTTTGCCAGCACTAATCATGGTGTATATAATAAAGACACGTTCAAAAGTTTAGCAGCCGGAGAAAAGAAGCATAGACTTCAACTATTCTCTTAGTTGAAAACTTCAACTTTGCTCATTCTGTCCACATTAATAATGGTTTGGACCCATACAAGTCAAGGTCTTTACTGATTGAAGTATAGCAAATTCACTGGTTCTGTACAGAATATCGTTACTTGCACAAGCACAACTCCTTGCCTAACTCTCAGACTACTTTCTACCAGAGTTTTTCAAATGAGAAATCCAAGATGCCATTTCCTAGTTCTATTCATTCAACTTGTGTCTATCATTAGCTTTTGTCACTACATAATGCCAATGAGAGGTGAAGATAATAACTCTAGTGCTGTAAAGGTGGATGTGGGTATAATTCTTGATATGGAAACAGATGTGGCAAAAGTAATGCACACATGTATTTTACTAGCAATTGAAGATTACCATGCTGCCGCTAGTCGTACTGCCACTAGGATAGTACCCCACTTGAGGGATTCCGAGAAAGATGATGTTGAAGCAGCATCCGCTGGTATATTCTGATCCATGATTTACTTCTGTTAAACTAGCATATCATTCTCTCTTTTCGTCTGTTTTTCACTTTGGAACGATTTCTTATAGTCTGATTGTGTATACGCAGCCATATACTTGATAAAAGATGTCCAAGTACAAGCTATCTTTGGGCCACAAATGTCTACACAAACTGATTTTGTGATTGACTTGGGGAACAGAGCAAAAGTTCCTATCATATCTCCAGCAACAAGTCCTTCACTTTCTGTCAAGGAAAATCCCTTCTTCATCAGAGGAGCACTTCCTTCTTCCAGCCAGACTAAAGCCATTGCAGCAATTGTTAAAAACTATAATTGGACAAAGGTTGTAATCATCCACGAGGATAGCTCCATTGGAACTGGGATAGTTCCACATCTGACTGATGCCTTACTGGAAATCAACGCTTTAGTCCCCTATAAAAGTGCTATTTCTCCTTCAGCCAGTGATGATCAAATCCTCAAGGAGTTACACAATTTGAATACAAAGCAAACCACAGTGTTCATTGTGCACTTACAACCATATCTTGCCTCACGCCTTTTCCTCAAGGCCAAAGAAGCTGGGATGATGAGCAGTGGATATGCATGGATCATCACAGATGTGCTAACGAGTTTTCTGGACTCAGTAGATCATTCAGTCATTGAGTCATCAATGCAAGGTGTTCTAGGTATAAAACCTTATGTTCCAAGATCAAATGACCTTGACATGTTCACCAAGAGATGGAGAAAGAGATTCTGTCAAGAGTATCCAGACATGGACCCAGTTGAACTCAATGTTTTTGGGCTATGGGCATATGATGGAATCACAGCATTAACAAAAGCAGTAGAAAAGGTTGGTGGCACTGCCATTCCAAAATTCAAGAAAGCGGACACTAGAAAGAACTTAACGGACTTGGACACACTTGGAACTTCAGAATTGGGGTCTCTGCTCATTCACTCTATGCAAAACACAACACTAAAAACAGGTCTAAGTGGTGATTTCTGCTTCGCTAATGGAGAATTGCATCCTTCCCCATATCAGATTGTGAATTTTATTGGGACAGGACAGAGAACCGTTGGATTTTGGACAGAGAAGGATGGCATTTCGTACAAACTGAAGATGAATGGTGAAACAGCTAAAACTAATAATAAGCAACTAGGGGTCATCATTTGGCCCGGTGAATCTATTACAGTTCCGAGAGGATGGAAAGTAGTTACAAGTGGGAAGAAGCTAAGGGTTGGAGTTACTGTCAGTGGACAGACGAACGAATTCTTTATAATAAAAAGAGATTCAAAAATACAAGCACAAGTTGCAGCTGGTTTATGTGTAGATTTCTTCAACGAAGTCATCCAATATTTACCATATTCTGTCCCTTACGAGTTTATTCCAATTCTGATACCAGATAGCCCCACTTCCCCAGACTATGATCATCTTTATTACACGGTAATACCAAATCCTTGTGTAAAATGACCTCTTTGGTCAAATACCTTACATGCTCCTTTCTGGGGACTTTCTTCTCTACTTTCTACTTTTGCTCTGACTGAGGAAGACCAACCATTAATAGTGCAATAATCATTGTTTGCCTTGAACCAGGAATATGATGCAGTCGTAGGTGATTTGGCCATTTTAGCGAGACAATCTGATTATGTGGACTTTGCATTACCTTTTTCAGAGTCGGGTATTGCCACAGTTGTGCCAGTTAAGGATGCTGATAGAAAGAATATTTGGATTTTCTTGAAACCTCTAAAGAGCGAGCTCTGGATAACAACTGGAGCTTTCTTCGTCTTCATTGGTTTTGTGGTTTGGGTACTCGAACATCGTGTAAACAAAGAGTTTCGAGGACCCAAACACAAGCAAGTTGGGATGATATTCTGGTTTTCTTTCTCAACTCTCGTTTTTGCTCATAGTAAGTCTCTAACAGTCTAACTCAAAGGAAGCTTTAAGATTTCTCATTGTTTCTCAACATATCATATGTATGGCTGGTTGTTGCAGGAGAGAGGGTAACAAGTAACTTAACAAGATTTGTGTTGATTGTATGGGTTTTTGTGGTTATGGTGCTGACATCAAGTTATACAGCCAGCTTAACATCTATGTTAACAGTGCAACAGCTTCCACCTACTATAACAAACCTTAATGATCTCATCAAGAATGGAGAATATGTTGGGTATCAAGAAGGTTCCTTTGTTGTTAACTTCTTGCTGCGCATGCAATTTGACAGCTCCAAGTTAAGAAGTTATAGCACATTGGAAGAGTACAATGATGCGCTCTCAAGAGGAAGTAAAAATGGAGGTGTTGCTGCAATTATTGATGAACTACCTTATCTCACACTCTTCCTCAACAAATACTGCAGGAAGTATATTATGGTTGGTCAAAATTACACGACTAATGACTTTGGACTAGTAAGATTCTCTCTGAATCTTTTAACTGGAAAGGTTTCATAACTGAAGTTATATTACTTCACCCAATCTAATGCACTTTTTCTCCACAATTTCTTGTAGGCATTTCTGAAAGACTCGCATTTAGTACCTGACGTCTCTAGCGCAGTCTTGAAGGTGAATGAGGGAGGAGAGTTTATGAAAAACGGTATACAGAAATACACTAGAAATGACACAGCTTGTCCACAGAACAATGGGACATCTGATAGTCTCACACTAGATAGTTTTAAGGGCCTTTTTCTCATAGCTGGTGTATCAGCAGGTTCCGCGCTTCTCATATTCTTCTTCATTTTCCTTTATCAGAATAGAGAAATCTTAGCCACTGATGATTCAATACAGAAAAGGCTTGCCGCAATAGCAAAAGTCTTTGATGAAGAAAAAGACAACTCTAATTCTAAGTCAGAAAAGCCAGAAGCCAATGAAGAAAGCCAAACGTCTACAATACTGTTCACAGCAAGTGAAGCTTCCCCTGAAATATTGCCCGATCTCCCTTTGCAAAGCCTAGAAATCAGAATCTCCGATGGCCTAGGAGCATCCCCTGCAGATGAAGGGTTCTCTATAACAGAACCTGCAACTTCAGCTAATGAAACCATTACAGAGACATTTTAATTTTGTAACTCTTGGCCTTGATTTTTGCGTCAAGAGGCAGCTTCAGAACTAGATCTGATGGATTTAACCTTGGATGGTTGTCACCTATTGTATTACTGCATTCCCTGTGTACCAATTTATGTGGCAACATTTTGATCTAAAACATTCATTGACCATTTGGTGGCTATAAATCATCTACTACATCATCTTACTTATTCTAAAAGTGGAAAGCCCCATAGTTGAAAGTTGATTTACGAAATTACTCTTCAATAGTTGATTGACAATTTTACCATACATCATTAAAAAATTACCTCTTATTAAATAAAATGTAATATATATTACAAATTACCTTTCCACTAGTGTTGTCAAAGGCGTGTTTAAGCCCTGAAACGAACCACAAAACATGTCAAGTGTTTTGCCTCACTTTGGGCTCGTTTGGTTGGTTAATAAGTTATCCCAAGATTGTAATCTCACCCTCAATGTAGGATAAAAATAACACTACAATCCCAAGATAAGTTATCTTGCAATTTTATCCCAAACAAAGATGGGATAAATTCAGCCTAGAATTAATCACGAGACTAGTTATCCTTTATCCCTCGTACCAAACGAGCCATGTGCTCTTTAGTGTCGTCATCAAGGTTCTAAGACATATTTTTCCTCACCAATGAGCATCTCCGGAAGAGACGACACCAAACGATTGATATTTCACTTTATCGTAATTCATTTCAATTTTTTTCCATATAAGTGTTATTCATGCTTATAATTATTAGTCTTGAACTAAACATATATATTTGTATTGTTTCTCTATTTGCTCCTTTCATTCAAGCCCATGTTTTATATGTGATTTGGCTTAAAACCCCAATGGACCTTAGAACTTTTTTGTGTATTTTTATTTTGATAACACTACTTTCAACTAGACGTCAAAGCCCTCAGGTCCGTGCATTAACATTTTCCATCAAACCTCAAACTTATTTCCAAAGCATTGTATTGGAGTAGTGAACAAAGAAAAGAGTTCAAACTTCAAGCCATGAATTTTAAGGTGGCGCTAGCATTAAAGTTAGAAGATTTGGTTTCGAAAAAACATTCTGGGATGCAAGTTGTATTGGTAATTTGTTCATTGTTTTAGGTTTTTAGTTCAAACTCAAACAAGATAAAGCATAAAACAATTCTACTCAACCCTCTGGTTCCTTCTTACCCCTTTTATATTAACTTGGAACATAGGAAGCAACTCACAAGTTAGCTTAGATGACCAAGGTGGTTATTTTGTGTGTTATGTTCCAAGACGGTCTTCAAACACTCAATGATAAAATTAACCAGGTGAACAATGGGATTGATACATTATGATAGCTGAGTTTCCTTTAAAAACTGAAAATAAGTCACTTGACAACAGAAGCAGGTTCTAAAAATAAAAATTATCACAACTCCATCCAACAAGTATAAATCAAGGTCTATCGGTTATATTATTAGCATATCAATGTTTTATGCAAGTTCCACCAGACGTGCACCATACAAAATTCCAGCACAGTACAAAATTCAGTTGAGAGAAGAAATAAAGCCTGAGATCCAACCTTGTTCTCATTCTTCGGGAGAATCTGAGCAGGTAGCTGTTCAAAAACCAGCAGAAATGTTTATCAGTAAACAAAAAGCACAGCCTGCAATGGTGATAAGACAACAGAGAAAAAAACATCCTCCATGCCCCCATCCGCTCATCTAAAACATAAAAAAAGGTATGTAGATATATGGAACTAATGTTTTCAAAAGTGCATACATCACATGATAAGGCAAACATGACATTTCTTAAAGATACAAAGGAGACACAAAAAAGCTAAATTCCTATTTACCACTATTCATTTGTTTATGACTTTTAACATTTGTGAGAGCTATTCCAATTAAAGAGCATGTATAAACACAAACATAAGCATCTATGTACATCAATCATGTACATTAATATCAATCAGCAGTGGCCCAGGGTGTCATCATAATGATCCTCCACTTCTTTCTATTTCTCTTAATGAGTCCAACTTCCATTCAAATTCCCGTTAGACCTTGTATTATGAAAAATAGGAAAATGAGAAGAAACAAATTATGTTATGAAACATTTCAACATAAAATGATAAGAATACAAATGTATAGATATGATGAAATGTATGAACTGATATCAGGCAGCGATTAGAAGTGAGTACATATTATCTTCTTTTTTTAATGACAAGGGAAACCCACCCTTTGGATGCGCACAAGGTAAAACCCCCGCTCCTATGCAATACCTTGCAAACCACACAGGAGAGATAACCCGCACTAGGAAAGCCCGTGCTTTAGCTGGTAAGGGGTTTTGAACTTGAGGCCTCCAGCATGAAAGTCTCAAGCCCAAACCACCGGGCCACCCCAAAGGGTATATATTATCTTTTTAGAAGAGGAGAATAAGCAAGAAAGAGCACAGGAATAGTACACAAGCCAGTAGACAGTATTAAACAAATGATCAACACTAGCAAGAACATCACGGAATATTTGTTGGCAGTGAATGAGTTCAAATGAGCAATTTAGTCGGGCAAACAGCACAGAGATCATCTGAAAATTCTAAATGATTCTCAGCACCACAAAATCTCCCCAAGTTAATTATCAATCATGCCATGCTTTAGTGGATATCGACATGCAAGACAGAAAGAATTAAGCTTCCACAGTCCACCTAAAAGAGGTAGATAAACTAATAAGATCGCTTTCATTTCAACTCATTGGTTATCTATTTAGTCAGGAGTAGAGTTCATTTAGAACATTTTCATGTCTAGGAGATTGAGAAAAATCTTTTATTGATTAATAGAACTATTTAGAGAACAACTCCCGCAGAAACCAAACAAAGTTAATTATATGAAGAAGAATCTCATATGAACATAAAACCCTAGATTTATTAATGCCACCTATTAACCACTCAAAAGAAAAACCGAGCACAACATATTTGCAAGTTCAATTCATTTACGACTCCCTGCAACGAAATTCCCATCACTAATAACAGCATCCGAAGAATAGTAATAAAAGCAATTACTGAAACATTAACATGAATTGATACACAAAATAAGGGGAAACCAAAGATCTGAACTTTGAGTTTCCTGATCGAAAGGGGGATAAAGGAAACAGAGAGATCGCTTACTCGGTTTCTGAGGCTTGCCATCAGCCCATTTGGAGATGGTGTAATGGACCTTCTCACGGCTCAAAGCTTCGGACTTGTAAGGCTCTTTAAGGCAGTTTCTGACCAGGTTCGCGCATAGGTTTGAGTATGTTATGTAAGTCATGCCTGCCGACCTCCAAAACGGTGCAGCTGCGTTAGATGCCATTTTTCTGCTGCTTTTTGCTTTCTCTTTCTGGATTGCTTTCTCTCGGCTGCGTTTTGTTGCCACGGATGAGATGAGTACCTGCGCACGATACCCTATCAATACAAGGAAATAGGCAAATTTTACTTCTATACCGTAGAAAATTATGATTTCTCTAAAAATATTTCCCTTTTTTCTTAGTTAACTTTGAAAAACATGTTTAGTCCTAAATTTAACTTAATTTTGGAATTTGTAAGTTTAAAAAAATTATATAAATATTTCACTTTTTACAATTCAAATTACTCAAAAAAAATTAAAAAAAATTCTAATCTATATATATATACTAGATACAGGACCCCGTGCCAGCACGGGATACAATATATATATATATATATTTTATTTTTATGTTTATTTTTTATATTATTTTATTTTTTTAATTTATGTAATATTATGAAATTGGAGAAGCTATTGAAATTTTTATATGATTTTTAAAATATTTTAAATTGTTAGTTATTGTGATTTATAGTAATTTACATAATTTTGAAAAAAATATTTATTATTCTCTTTGTTCCGATATTTATGTGGCACATGTAGGATTTCAAAAATTAACCATTTTTTATATGTCTCTTCAATATATTAAGTTGTTAATTATTGTATTTTATAGTACATTTTTAACTTAATTTTTAAATAATATATGTTACTTCCCATGTCCCAATTTATGTGGCATTAATTGATAGATTTTTTGGAGTCGAGCGATTTTTTTTGTTAATTATTGTATTCGTCAATTTCAAACAATATATGTTTATCATCTAATCCATTTTATGTGGTACCGATAGAATTTAGAGAGTCAATCAAACTTTTTATATAACTTTTAAATAATTAAGCTGTTAATTATAGTAATTATAGTATTACTTATATTATTTTAAAATATATTTAAATATTATATGTTACTCTTTTTATCCTAATTTATATGGTATTGATAGAATTTAAAGTGTCAAATAATTGTTAATTATTGTGATATATAGTACTTTTTATGTAGTTATATATATATATATATAATTATTTTTAAGTATACTAAATTGTTAATTATTTTAATATCTTTTTTAAATATGTAATCAACTAAAAAAGGTGAGACGTGATAATTAAAATAAAGAAATACACAATAGTATTGGTCAGCCGAGATGATAAAGTTGGGGGGCGGGGGGACTTAAATTAATAAAGATGGATACATGTGTCATTACGGAGATGTTGGCTGGTTTTTTTGTCTAAAGAAGAAAAGGTACAATTATAAAGCACTGTCATATAAGAGTTTTAAGGAGCAAAAGATAGCAAATACCATAATTCTAAACATTGGGGGTGGGGGGGGGGGGGGGGGAACTTAAATTAAATAAAGATGGATATATGTGTCATTATGGAGATGTTGGCTGGTTTTTTTTGTCTAAAGAAGAAAATGTACAATTATAAAGCACTGTCATATAAGAGTTTTAAGGAGCAAAAGATAGCAAATACCGTAATTCTAAACATTAATTGCAAGAGGCAATGACCAAATTGCACTTGAACTTTTCTAAATATGGCAAAAAACAGCCATGTTGAAAGTTTGAAAACTCTCCCTTCTATATAATAGAAATATGGTCAAACATAAAATATTTGGCCATGAAATTACTTTACGGTCCAAAGTTAATCTCCAAAAAAAATAGGTTTGATCATAAAATTTCAAAA